ATATAATATTTAATTAATATATGCAGATGTAGAAAAAATATATTCTAGTCTAATATACTCAAAAACAAATATTAAATATGTAAAATGTCATGAACCTAATGTCTTTACTGTTATTAACAAAAAGTAATTGTGGTAGAAGGAGAATGTTAACTTTCAACACTAAAGACATAGATTTGAAGAGACAACCCCTTTCAGATGAAAATTCTGTGATACTAAAATTCCAAGATTAGAAATATGTTCATGCCCAATGTTTTATAAATGTTCAACAAAAATCCTTTAGTATTCAGAAAATCTTCATTTGTGAAAAGTACACTGTAGGGTAAAATGCTGAACACTGGGCCCTGCTTTACCATCTACTTGCATTAGAAAATCAGAGGTGATTGGGCTTAGTAAGGGAGCTTGAGTTAAGGCAAGAAGAGGAAACAAAAGAAAGGAGCTGGTTTTTCAATGACAAGGGTGCTTATCCTACCTTAGAACAGTAAATTGGTTTTACTCTTGCTATGGCCACATTAGGCAATGCATAGGATATGGAAGTAGGCAAAAGACTGGATTCTTACCAGCTGTACTTAGTCTACGCCATTTTTTGCCTGATGGTGGGAGGTCTAGTACTGGGGCAGGTTCTGCTTATCCTGTTATAGGATCTCTTCAAAATTGCCCTTGTTTAGATTTTGTAGTCAGTACATGTATGAGCTTCAGTAAAGGTACTCTTCAGCCCCACCAAAAATACTAACAGTAATGACAGCATAGTAGAAAAATGATACAACATGGTGTCCTCAGATTCTTTTTAAAAAGGCCTAAAAGTCTGTAAAAGCAGAAGGTGGCATTAACTTAGGTCTAATTTGGGAAACTTTTACTAATTTAGTACAAAGCAATGTTGATATGGTAATGGTTATTAAACTATTGCAACTGAGCTATCCTAGCTCCAAATTCACCTTTCTATACTTTCCTTTCTGATGCTATGGCTCAGACTCTGCAAACCATTTTTCCTATGCTAGCTGATGTCTCACTAAGTTCCACCAATAAAGGCCATTACAGGGTGACTGGAAGTGAAGGGGCAAAGGGACTTCCTCCTTTCCAATTGTTTGCAGTGTCTGTCATTGTTACCTCAGCAATAAGCAATGGTCCCTAGCTCTAACAGAAACAACTGATTTTATCCTTGAGCTTCTTTTGGCACACCTTCACCCCCAACCAGCCTCATCATATCTCTCTAAAAGGTAGCAAGACTAGATGGACAGCATCCACTCAGGGACTGGAGCTACAGTTCATCTGGGTTATTCTTCTGAGCTTCTGAGACCTGATAGTCCAACCTCAATTCCTATTTTTTCACTTGCTTTAGTGGAGATAGCTGCTCTCTACAGTTATCACCTCTGGGCTACTTCAGTGTTCCCGTTTTGCTTTTTCAGTCCATCTCTTGCTGGGGATGTTGGTTCTCAGTTCGTGAGTTCAGCAAAGAAAGAATTCACAGCCAAGAACTCGGGCACAAGAGGAAGTTTATTTAGCATGCAAAGCGAAAGTACACTCAAAGAGAAGATTTGAGTGGGCTGCTCAGAGAGCTGGCTTGGCCTTTTAGAAAGAAAGTCACAGAGGCAGAAGAAGTGAGCCAGCAATGCTGTGTGGACTTGGGAAACAAGTTACAGAAGCAAAGGAAGGGCCCTTCAAGACAGGTTCAGGGGAGAGCCTAGGACAAACTGCTGCTGCCCACTGCTCTCTTGATTGCAAATGTCATGGGGACCCTTAGAACTTAGGAGAAAGAAAGCACAGGTACACACCCAAAGAAAGAAGGTGAGGTTGTGCTCTGGACTGAAAATGCACTGGGTCCTTGTTTTAAAGGTTTTTTTATCTAAAGGCAGGAATTTTAGGGGTGGTCTCAGGGGAGATCTCAATAGAATATTCATCAGCTTTCCAGGTGTGTCCTTTAATGTGCTGATACATCAAAGTGAGCATATAGATCGTTCTCTGGTCAGTTTCACCTTCAAAGAATATTACCTGAAAGGGACCAGGACTGAGGTAGGTCCACTCTGGCATGGTCTGGAATGTGTAAGATAAGACCTTGCAATTTATTATCTGGCTGTAAATTGCTTGCCCGGTTTGTTCAACTGTCTGTCTCAGTCTCAGTTTCTTCATTCTGCTTCCCAAATAACTGTCCTAGCTTCTTGCTGTCCTGCCCCACATCAATGTCAAATACTAAATTCTCTGTTGTAATATCTTGTGATTTCTATTTTCTTCATTAATGTGTCTCCAAACCTTCCTCCAAAGAACCCACAGTCATTAGGTGTCTGTGCTTTTGGTAAAATGTTAACATTCAAATTTTGTAGCAATTACTAGACATTGGCTTTCAAAACAAATTATCCAATTTGAAACACAGAAAGAAAAAGACTTGAAAAAAAATTAATAAAGCCTGGAATGACATGTGGTAAGGACTAAGAACTCTAGTCTATAAGCCCTGGCTGGTGTAGCTCAGTGGATTGAGCGCGGGCTGGGAACCAAAGTGTCCCAGGTTCGATTCCCAGCCAGGGTACATGCCTGGGTTGCCAGCCATAACCCCCAGCAACCGCACATTGATGTTTCTCTCTCTTTCTCCCTCCCTTCCCTCTCTAAAAATAAATAAATAAATCTTAAAAAAAAAAAAGAACTCTAGTGTAGGTGTAAGTATAATCTCAGAAGGAGAAAAAAGGGCATAAAAAATTTGAAGCAGTGTTGGCAAAGAGTTTTTCAAATTGGACAAGAAACAACTACAACCAAAAATCCACAAAAATAGGGATACATGAATCCAAGTAGGATAAATACCAACAAAATCATAATAACTAGTAACATACTGTAACTGCTGATAAATAAAGGTAAAAAAAAACAAAACCAAAATCTTAGAAGCAGCCAGAAAAATGCCCTGGCTAGTGTGGCTCAATGGGTTGAGCCAGCCTGTGAACCAAAGGGTTGCAGGTTCAAATCCCAGTTAGGGCACATGCCTGGGTTGTAGGCCAGGTCCCTAGTTGAGGGCATGTGAGAGGCAACCAGTTGATGTATCTCTCACACATCAATGTTTCTCTTTCTCCCTTCCTTCCCATCTCTCTATTTTTTCTGGGTTTATTTTCCCCATTTAAGGTAGGTGGTGTAAGCTACCTGATGGCAAGAACCACTCTACCTATTGGATTTGGTATTCACACCCCCTTCCCCCATCACATGTCAAATATATTACTAGATTTGAATTGAACTAGGTTTTCCTAACAATTTGCTGTGTGATTTTGGAAGAATAGTTTTAACCTCTGGACAATGGTTTCTTCAGTTTCAAAAATAAATATAATATCTCAGTCCATAAACTTTCTAAGATTCATCAAAACAAATAAAACTACTATATTAGCTCAAGCTGCTATAACAAAATACCACAGACTGGGTGGCTCAAACTATAAAAATTTAATTTCTCACAGTTCTGCAGGCTTAGTTCCACATCAGGCTGTCAGTGCCAGCACGGTCAGTTTCTGGTGAGAACTCTTTCTGGATCTACATGGCTGCTTTCTTATTGTGCCCTTTCTGAATGAAAACAGAGAGCAAGCTCTCTGGTGTATTTATTGTCTTAGACATTAATACTATAGTATCAGGGCCCCCCTCTTACCACCTCAATTTAATTACTTCTAAAGGCCCTATCTCCACATAGTCAGATTAGGGGTTAGGGCATCCCATACAAATTTCCACAGGGCACACACAATTCAGTCCATATAGCCATACTAAAGTGTGCAAAGGTATTTAGACCCTTAGAGTAAGTTTAACATTCATTTACATTATTCACTGTGGATGCCAATAATGAAATGTAAACACAGAGTAGCTGTTGCTCAGAGTTGCATGCTCTACTCATTTCAACCAACTTGAAGCCAAGGAGGGACCACAGGTTGAGCTTGATTTGAGCTTGACATTGTGATTGATCCTATATATGTCAAGCATACCCCATACACTTATCAGCATTCAAATGAATAATTTTTAAGTAAATGCAGGAAAGTGTGGACTCTTGGGCCCTAGAGTCAGGGCCCACATTAAAGATAGGAAAGGAAGATGCATTAAGGCCTTCAACAATATTTACTGACGATCTATCACATGCTAGGCACTGGAGAAAAACTGAAAACTGATATGGTTCCTGACTTAAATGGAGTTTATAGGCAAGGTGGGGATGGGAAAACTATTTCAACAGCTTGGATGGGGAAAATACTAGCGTTCCATGAAGGGTACCTAACCCAAGCAGTCTTCCCTGAAGAGGAAAGCCTAACCTGAGCCACAAAGCTGGTTAGGAAGGAGTAAGGGATGTTGTGGGGGGCGCAGCCTCGCGTCGGGGGAACCAACTTACTGATGACTCAGCAGGTGACTGGGGCTGGGTCCCTAAGAGTGGGAAGACCTGTCACCAAAGGTCACAGTGCTGACTACCACAAACGAGACTGGAGGCTACGTTACACACCAGGACACTTCGAATGTCCTAAGACTCAGCTTACTTTGGTCTGTGGCTCAAATTAAGCATACATCTTAAATTTTTTTCTCAGGTCCCCATTTCCAGGCCTTGGTTTCTTTTTCCTTCTAGCTTCCTGCCCCCTACAACCTTCGTTTGCCGAGACTCTTTTCAGGCGCAGAAATGTGGAGGAAGATGCCACAGAAGTTGGGGCTGACCTCGGGGAGCAGTCATTTTTTTTGCTGTTGAGTCTCTCCTGAGGCGCTGAGGAGGAAGGCCCAAAGCAGTCAGCAGTGGAGGGAAAGGAGAATCTACACCGGGTAAGGGTCCAACGCCTCTCTCTAGCTCTTTCAGCCGCGAAGAAAGCCCGCTCCACTCCCTGCACAGCGCTTGATTGACAGGACAGCCTGCCCAATCCCAGTGCAGCGCAGACGGCTCTCTAGTCAGGGATGGAAGGAAAGGGGAGATCGAGCCTATCACATTGAGTCAGGACAGGGTTTCCTGCCTTCGCAGATCCGCCTGCGGCCTCGCGGCCAGTCGGCTAGGTAGCTCCGCCCGTCCACCGCTCGCGCCCCGCCCCTCTCCCGAGAGCTACGCGGCGGTGGAGCGGAGGCCTCGTGCCGTAACGGCCATCGCGGCGGCCGCGGCGGTGTCCCGGTTCCCTCCCTCAGGTGAGCTGGGGCCACCGAGGCTCGGAAGAGGAAAGGAGGGATGGCCTTGCTGGCAGGCAGATGCACAAAGAGCCTTTCCTTGCGTCTTGTGTCCATACAACCTACTATTCGCTGTGTCGCTTCCTCTTCCCTGGCGAAGTTAAGCCCCGGGGGCGCCGTCTGCCGGCCCGGAGCTGAGCCGGAGGGGGCGGGGAGGTTGCTCGGCCAGGCCTGGGCTTTTGAACTGCTGCTCCTTGATACTGTCAGGTTACTACCTCCGGGTTGGGGGAGGCGGGGCGCGGGCCTGCGGCTTTCCTGCGCATCTCTGGAGTGCCAAGTCGGGATGAGCACCCAGGGCGGCCACCCCTGCGAGGCTTCAGGGGTTCATTGTGCAGCGTGCGCTTCTCTGCTTCTTTTCCTACCCCCCAAAGTCCTGTTGCCTGTTGTGGCCTAAAGCAAGGCCGGGAAGGTGGTAACATGTTAGAGGAGGAAAGGGGGAGAGCCTTGGGCGGAGGATGGACATCCTTGAGATGCTCCTTCTGTCCCTCCCCCACCAGCCGGTACCCTCGTTCTTGGGAAATCTGGGTTATTTTAGTTGTATAATCTGCTGTAGATCCGTGGTAGGTCCGTACCTGAGTTGCTTGGGCTGTGAGCTTTTGTAATATATCCGGTAAAAACGATTTCGAAAGGTTGGTTTTGTAACATTATGTGTTTCCATAAAAGTTAAATTTGCCGTTAGAAGCTCAGGAAGCTAGATTTTGTTCAGGGCTGAGAACCGTAACAAAATACACGCATTAATGTTCAACTGATGAGCTAGTGACCTGAAAATAATTCTACCTGTTAGATTCTGTAAGAAACCTTAACGAAGTAGGAAAGAATGAAGTTAAGGAGAATTTTCTAACCCCATCTTGGGTGGTGAGCGAAGGACCTCAATGTCCGGTCAAAACGGGTAAGTATTGCAAAAGATAACTCATTTTTAAAAAATCTTATGTGAAACTGAACCGTACAATTTATTAAGCACCTGGAAAGCGTTGTGCCTAAAGTCTCAATTTTCAGCGAGGTCACACAATAAATGGGAAAGTAATTCAAGAAGGTTTTGTTTGATAATTGTCAATAACGTTCAGTTTTTAAATAGGCATTCCATTCACAGTTCGGATAGTAACTCAAGAAATATACGTTGCTTACTTATTAGTTTCATTTCATCTTGATCACAAAGTCAGATATTTTCTTTGGGAAAATTGTGATCTGTGGGAATTAGCTATAGTAGTTTAAACACTATTTTCAGAGTGTTCAAGACTTCTTAATTGTGTTTGTTCACTTATTAAAATTTAAATTGAGTGCTTATTTTTCTAAGTATTATCTTTATTTAGTCCGTGTAAATAAAACTTGAAGCATGCACAGAATGTTTTAGTTGTTGAGTGATAGTTTATACCCTGGATTTATTTTTCTTTTGGACCTTTTGAATCTGCCAAAGCTCAAGGTAGATTTGATGTGATTGTTGTTATAAATTACTTGTCAGGAAGACGATTTAATAAATACAGATGTAGTCCTTTTTTTTCTATCATAGTTCCATAACTTTTGCAATTTACTCACCTTTATGATACAGAAAAATACCAAATGTTATGCACCTACAACAGAAGACTAAATAATTTAGTTGATATGTAAAATTGGAGGAAATTCTGGAAATCACTAAGAATTTAACAAGTTCTTCCTAAACACTTTGGTGTTTTGTTTTAAGAATACAACTACAGGGCCAAAAATGACCTTTAAAGATTAAGGCAACAATTCCATCTAGATGATCCTCACTTTAAACTGTTTCAATGATAGAATTTATAGTCTTTCCTTCAAAATTGATTCCATACACTGTGTTGGTGATATTATGCTTTCAATTGCCCAGACACAAACCTTGGTTTTATCTTTGACTTTGTCAATCCACGTATCATTGGCCAATTTTTGTCAGCCAATTTTTGACATTTCTTTCAGATACCTGTTCATTTCTTCCAGCTTTTAACTAGGTTTTCTCTCTGCCTTTTCTTCCTATTCAGTATGTCCAGCTTTCTGCCTAATCTTAATGTCTTGAGTATCTCTCACTGTTAAATCAATAATAGCTTCCTGTCACCTACAGAGTTCCTAGCCTTTTAATAATATGGTCAAAACATATTTTTTCTAATGATAGCACTATTTCTCTATAGGAGCTGTCCACCTAACCAACCCACCTCACATTCTCATTTAGACTTTGTATTTTATATCTATGCATTGCCAGCCTGTTCCTTAAAAGAATGTTTTTCTCCTAAGGCACTGAAGTAGCAAATGAAGTCAGATTTTTTTGAAGTTTCATTTTTGGTGCTTCATTGTAGCCTTCCAGATCTTTCTGTTCCCTGTGTTGTATTCCTTTGAACACATATCCCTTATTGTTTTATCACTTCTTGGGTTTTTTCCAGTCTGATGTAGGCTTGTGCAGAAGTTGATATCCAATCTTCCTTTTTAAAAGAAAATGTAATCCATACAGAATACCTGCATTAAAACGTGTGCGCACACGAGGGCACACACACACACACACACACACACACACATTTAGTGATTAGTGGCAGTCAAGACTCAGCCCTTGATTCCCTAACTCAAGTTTGGTGTATCTACAAATTTTTTGTATATTCTTTATGAAACTGTACTGCTCATCTCTTGAAATGTAGTTTATTGTTTGCTTCACATTACTTTGCATTTTTTGTATTTATGCCTTCTATATAAATTCAGAACTTTTTTTATGAGGACAGAGGAACCTTCATGATTTGCAACATTTAAATTATTGAAACAATGATTTAAGAGTCTACAGTCTTTTTCTATGCTTGTTAGATGTATCAACAGTATTGAAAAAATAATGGTATCTCTACAGTTGAGTCCTATGAGTAACTAAAAAGTGAATGGATCTCTTAGAAGTGTTATGCTAGAATTGGAATCTTTTGTAAAGAGACTCTTAGGGAAGCCTTGAAAGTATATGATAGCAATGTAATAGTTTGGAGGAAAGCCCTGAGGGCTTATCGAGTTCTCTTTTTGATTATTAGAATAGTTAACACTTTCGCATTTTGCTTCTTTGTCACTTTGTTTTAATGTCAGGAACCAGATTATTGAGCATTCTGCTTATTGAGCAAAGCATTCTGAAAATCATTTGTTATATTTGGGGGGTTAGAGATCTTTTGTACATGTATTTGTTCTTCATAGATTCTCCCTTTTAACTCTAAAGTTTTTGTGAATAGCAGCTGCATAGGGTTACCTTGGTATTTTTCTTTCATTTCTTTTTTGTAGCAAGAGTTGAATGGTGTAAAACAGGTTGCACAGAAAACTACCAGGTGAAATAAATATCTCTGGCAGGGATGCTTTACTCTTTTGGTCTGAAATAGGGTAGAAGCTATTTTTCTTTTAATTTTCGGTTGTTTATAATGGCTTGTTTTTATTTGTTTAAATAGATTATCTCCTAAAATAAACTGTTGAAACACTGATTCTCTTGTTTTTTTTTTATTCCTGAATTTATACTTAAGGATTACTGAGTTGAAAATAAGTATGATATGAATAATTTCTGCTTTTGTTCAAACAGACCAATTGAATAAAGTACTGAGAATATGGTTTGGGAAAATCTCTTTAAAAATAGATTTTCTAAAAAGGTTTTTGTTGGTGTTGTTTGTTTTTAAAGACTTGGCCTTCCAAAAACTTCAGTACATGCTTGCAAATCATGGTTGCATGTAGATCCACACAAAAAATAGATATAGCAAGGAATTTCATGTGCTTTGTACTTTTTAAGTATTTTAGCTGTATTACAGAAGTGTTTCATTCATTAAATAAGACCTTGGACATTTTTCCTTAGAAATGCTTGAATACCTCCAGTTACTACATGTTCTTGAATTATAACAATTTTTTTACTTCTAGAAACATTTGGAATATTTTGTGTACAACACCCTCCTCCCAGAATTCTACTTCCTAGGAGGGTTTTTTTTTTTTCATTTCTTTTTTATATTCATTAGAAGGCCTATAAAACCTTCCATGATTTGTCTTTTTGCCTACTTCTAGCTTCTTGTCTTGTCAGTTTCCCTTCTTTTAGTGTACCCTTTGAGCCTTGGTTAATCATGCTATCTCTTTTTCTTCTTTTTTTTTCCTTGGAACCTGTGGGCATGCTCTTCCTGTAGACCAGGGGTGCCAAACTCATTTTCACCAGGGGCTGTATCAACCTCGTGGTTGTCTTCAAGGGGCCAAATGTAGAGCTCCTTGCCTCTAGTTAAGAAGTAGTTACATTTATACAGTCCTAAAATTACATTTCACCCTTTGAAGGCAACCACGAAGCTGATGTGGCTCCCAGTGAAAATGACTTTGACACACCTGCTCTAGACAGATGGCTCCCTTAGGTTAAATTAGTATTAAGTTGGACTGTTGGTAACAGAAAGATGCCAAATAATTTCTCTCTCACTACAGAATTCCAGGGTTTGCATGGCACTCATTTATTGTGTTATTTACAGAGTGGGTTTTTTTTTCCCCCTATTATAAATAACTCTGAAATAAAGATCTTTGTGAGACCTTAAAATTTTTCTCCTTTTGGTTAATTGCTGTTATGGGTCAACTGAAGATCTCATCAGTGTCTTGTTTATAAAATGTATAGTTAATTTTTTTAATTGCAAAGTACACAATTTCAGTGTATATAGGTAAACAAATTTTTGCATTTGTAGACATTATACAACCATCACCCAGACCAAGGTATAGAACATTTCTAGTGCTCTACAAGGTTCTTGTCTTGCTTTTTCTCAATCAGTATCTTCTACCCTCAAAAGTAATCACTATTCTGACTTACATCATCATAGGTTATTTTTACCTGTTCTTGAACTTGATGTAAATGGAACCCTAAAGTATATGCTCTGGTGCATGGCTACTTTTGCTTAACATTGCATTTGTGAGATTCACCTATGATGTTGGGTGCAGCAATGGTTTTTTTTTTCCCACTATTGAATGAATATACAGTTAAAAAAGTAATGGATATTTGGTTTCTTCTCAGTTTTTTAGCTATTATCAATAAAGCTGCTATAAAGATTTACTTAGAAGACTTTTCGTAGACACACACATTCATTTCTTCTGGTTATGTATGTATACCTAGGAGTAGAATTATCTGTCCTTGTCTACCAGTTTTTGAACTTCTTTGAATCACCTTTCTCTTTTACCGTAAAACTGGTGACTCCCTTTGCTTTACTCCTGTCTTAAATCTATTGCCTGTGACTCATGTAGTTCTTTTTTTGATTTGACCCCTCCTTTGATGGAATATATCCTACAGTAGATTCCTGTGAAGGGTTGAGATCCTGGATTAATAATTTTCTTTTCTTCTTTTGTCTTCCTACTTGATTTGGTTGGGCAATGAATTCTAGATTGGAAATAATTTCCTTTCAGAATTCTGAAGTCATTTTTCTATTGTTTTCTAGCTTGTGATCCTTTTGAGAATTCTGAAGACATTCTGATTCCTGATCCTAAGGTTTTAGGCCTTTCTGGAATTTTGTATCTCCTATATTCTGATAATTTATGAGTGTGTGATTTGGCATAAATACATTTTTGTGGGGTTTTTTTCCCTTGGATATTATTGTGCCCTCCAAATCTGCAAAATTATGTACATCAGTTCTGGGAATTTTTCTTGAATTATTTCATTGATGGTTATATTAGTTTCCCGGGGCTGCCATCACAAAATACCATGGTGGTTTAAACAACAAATTTATTTTTTCTCACAGTTCTTCAGGTTAGAAGTCCAAGATCAAGGTGCGATCAGTGTTGTTTCTGATGAGATCTCTTCCTGATTTATAGACAGCCTTCTTTTTACTGTATCCTTACAAAACCTTTCTGTGGAGAGAATGCTATTTTCTCTTATGGGGACATCAGTCCTTTTGGATTACTTAGGATTCCACCCTTATGATCTCATATAACCTTAGT